AGATATCGTGTTGCTGTGTTTCCAGATTTTTTCAGAATTTTACTGTAATTTTTTTCTGCACTGCACTACTTGCAAATCGTTCCAAGTATGAAATACCTGTCTACATTCTGTCTTTTACTATCACACCTTATGTGAGCATTCTTTCATTTTAACTCTCGCTCTGCAGAACATACTCGCATTTTATTCTTTTATCCCGCCTCTTTTTTTTCTCAAAATGGAAAGAATTTGTTTTCTGCTAATTAGGGCTTTGGCCCCCTATCAGAGCATTCCGCAACATCCGCACCCATCTTAAGAGGTACTCATGCATAAGCAGAACAACACCTAAACTTCGTTCTTTAACTCCGCCGACCACTGCGCCCATAACTAAAAATCAATTGTAGAATAACTTAGTGTGTCTGAGTAAAGAGCGGATGATGTTCCATGGAAACACATAATTCCGACGTTTATGCAGCCTGTCATGTCGATTTCTACAAATTGATGATAAGAAAACATAAAGAATAACAGCCCCTTTTTAAGAGGATCGGAAAAGAAAATAAGCGAGCATCTTCTATCGCATAGCATTCTAGAGTCTCAGAAATGAGCCTTGCGAAACTGGGTCATACTTCTTCGTCATTTTGGATCCTTTAACTAGACTGAACATATCTCTAAAGTTATCTAGTGCTACGTCGAAATCAAGGTCCATTTTCATCAACTAAATGTCCTATAGGCTTTCACTGCCTGCAGTTTGTTTCTGTATGCTGTACGTAATGTTGTTTAATCTTAGAAACGCAAATGTGTTGCTCCACTCAAGAAGGCTCAAAGACGCCTCTGAGTCGTAAAGGGCAGGTCCTACAGATATGCCTGCCTTAGTGGCTATGTACTATTGCCGTCATATCGCCTTCACAAAAGCACTTCATTTCTGAATTTTTCCATATTCGAGACCTACAGTTCAGTGTTTACGATATGTCACAGCTCTAAACACCTCTTGTGGCTCCTCATTAGTTTCAGGCAATTATCGCAAAACCATGAATTCACTTCAGACGAGGGGCTACTAAATGTTTTCTAGTTCTATTGCTTTTTTTAAAGCTTTGGACGTCATAAATGTTAGCGTTTGCAAATTTAGCTGTTCGGAGGTTTGTTTTGATGTCTGTAAATGATATCCAACGTTATTATAACACAAATACACAACAGTAAGCTCAAATGATGTCGATGAAACTCCCGCCAGTTCGTTGTTTAGTCCAAAACAAGAAAAATTAGCAAAGATCAAAAGATGGAAAGCATGCGGAAGTACGCCCTTGCAAAAACGTTTCTGGAGTGTGAGAACTTTCCTTTTCCTGCTATTGAATTATTCGCTATTTCATTATTCGCTCAAGCGTTATATTGTTGATACCTCCAATGGAAGCCTGAACGCTTTCGAGTGTTTTTCTGACAGACAGAGTGGACCGAGTGTGAAATTAGCTGGGATTGATTATATTATTGTTACGCGCACAAATAAACTACTGCTACTACTCGGCATAGCCTAATTCGCATGTTTGAGTATTCTTTTTTGCCCAATCATTCTTTATTGCCTTTTACTTTATTTTTGCATACTATCGTGGAATTTTAATTGGTTTCTGACTCTCTCTAATTGGTTATTTGAGAATTAAAGCTCTGTCTAGACCAAGAGCACTCGCCGCCTCCCTTTTTGCTCTCTGCCGTCGTCCACTTTCCATAATTCCACATTTTTCGTCTTTTCTTCCGTTTGGCTGAGGACTGAATCATTGTAATGAATCTTCTCTCATTCGCTTACTGCACTCGAGAAGCACTTCGGTGCTCACTGACGTAACGATGCTTACATCCCTTCTCTCAGTGCTGAAGCCAGTAAGTTCTAGCAACTCAGAATTTGGTAAAACACTCCGGCCCAAATCTTTATTTGCCTCCGTCGATCTATAGATACGAAGCACTCTTTCAACTTCGAACAGGGGACCGAATTAGCAGCCAACTCATAATTGTAAGGTCAAACTGAGCATATGCATCCTCCAACGCTGTCACATCTCCTTTTCATCTATAGAACTCAATTTTCATTGATCTGCTATTTTTGTGACGGAGTCATTATAAAGTAGGTATTTCCATAACCTATCTATCGGATACAAAGAGAAAAACTTTTAACTTACAAGTTTTCAAGATTGTTCGGGTTTAAGCCCATAAGGCAGTAGGCCTCGGGGCCTCATACTCATACACACGATTTCAGTCGCGACGCTTTTTGGCAATGCTCCATTTGTTTGTAATTCATCATAAGATCATCCTGAATGTACAGAAAAAAAGGCAATTTGTCAGTCTGGGAAATTCATACATACCGGAGTTTTGCGGAGTTCAAATTCCGCAAAAGTCGCATTTTCGAAATCTGGCATATTGCCAGGTCGCGTTGCGATCGAGAACGCGGAAGTATGCCCGAGGCCTTACAAGGGAACGATACTCAGTGTCCGTGGCTTTTCAAAACGTGATTCATACCATTAAACTCGTCTTCGAACGCTGATTCCGAATCTGCCTTCCGTTTCTGCTAATCATTTCTCTGAAAGAAGTTATGGAAGAATTTCGAGCCAAGTTTGGCTGCTCAAGGGAAATATGGTCATTGGAACGGCCTGTGCGGCGGCCACTTTCTGGTTTAGTGGTTAGTGCAATAGCCTTATAAGTTGATGCAGGTGTAGGTGCGCAAACGGTTATCATTTTTCCGAATTTTCCATTTTTTGAAGAGTAAGGTCGTTCACTTAGCTCGATGATGCGAAAGAAGGTTAATTGAGGCAATGCAAAACTGAAAAACACAAAAGGATTCGAACTTGCAACTGCATCAACTCATGGCGCTATCGCACTAACCACTAGACCACAGTGCACCGTTAACGTTGGCGCTCCGATCGTATTTCACTAGGCATCCACAATCCGCGCGATCCATTATAACATTTTTGAAGCGATTAGCAGAAACAGGAGTCAGATTCGGAATCAGTGTTCCAAGACGACTGTAATGGTATACATATCATCTCAAAAGACCGCGGACACCGAGTATCGTTTCCTTGTTAGACCACCAATCTGCACTCTTAGCTGCAAGCCCTAAGTATCAACGAATAATAGAAGAAGAAAAAAGACAGGAGAATGAAGTGTTCTTTATAAACGACTTAGGTTTTTGAGATGTATACAATGTTGAGATCTTATTATTCACCTACCAATAATATTACAACAAGAGGTAAGTGCACAACTCATCCTACAATTTCGTACCACCCCAAAGTGAGCATTACTACGCACAAATCAGTTGTGATTTTTTTCAAAACTATGCGTTTTCTTTCCGTATAAGAGACTTATAAACTGCTATGAATGCTTGGCATAGCAAATTCATTGAGACCAGACGCCCACACAACAATACCATTCCTGTCAGAGCACCATGGACGGCTAATGAGAGCATCCATAAGCTAGGTTTTCCGAAAATACAATTACCAGTTGCAACGCAAAGCAGGTTTTTGCATGTGGAACTTCCGCTTACGAACCTTCGGAACAGAAATTTTGCTATGGCAGATTACTGTATTCAGTATGTTGTCCTAATCCAGATAGTTTAGAAAACGTGCATCCTGCTATGTACTCATTATGCTCTCTTTAGAATCTTTCGTTAATTATGGACGTTGAGTATTTCTTTCCCCAAATTCAAAGTTAGTTAAATTTCATTTCTACGCTGCACTATTGCATTCTAAGTAGCTGGTAAGGAATTATAATTTTTCAAGAGAGTATCCCTAACACCTATCTGCAATTTTTCATACTATGAACGCCGCTTCTTGATCATGAACCATCCTATTTCTTTTGGTTTTTACTCGTATACCCTCCAGGGGCAACTATCGCCACTAAAATGTTCTCCATCCTTCCGTGAAGCAGATCTCAAAAGCTTTCTGAAGTCATTGCGATGCGATGTGACTGAAGCGCATGAAAACATCTGCGGCGCTTGCTGCGTGACTGAGTACTACAATTCAATTTAGAATACCCTGCACGGGGCTGTTTATGTAAGCAGTCACATAGTAGCCATATTCAATTGAATCTCAGTAGATGTATGTGGCATTTCTCACTTAGTAATTGGGATAACCTTTATCGAATTCGTTTCTGGCATTCCTTTCATTTCGGATCACGCCTTGACTCTCCATCGTAGATATACTATACTGCAGCTTTGCGTATAAGCCAGACTTATTTTTACTGCTTATTATCCGGTCTGCATACATGCTTCAAGTATGTCTATTATATAGTGCTATACTGGCGGCGATGAACACAGAGGATTTTTTGAACATTTCTTGTTCGTTCATAAGACTGCATAATTTTGGTGATTTTGGTTTGATTATTAATAAAGCGTGTGGCACAATCCTAATTTGTCCGTAGCACACAATTTTTGCAATAAGACCGAACATTCTTTTCATTATACCGCTACATAAAGCTTGGAGAGCCATCAGCGCTATGGGCAGACTGACTCAGAATGATCGAGATTACTAACTTTGATCAACAATATTTTTAACTACCCAATGGGCCAACAGGTTTTTTCGCTTTCTTTGGCCTTTTTCGCTCCTTTCTTTAGAACTAGTTTTGGTCAGACTCGACTGAGTAGTACGTCAGAAGACCGAATATAGAACTTGGTAAACTGCAATTATTGAGGTGTTATCAAAAGGCGCGATTTTTATTGATTGATGAACATCAGATAGCCCATATTTAGGGTTTTAGAAGGCTTCAAAAGCAAAGATTTCAAAAAGTTGTATAAGATCGGAGCATGTGTTGCTCTGTGTTATGACCTATATAAGTATTATAGTTACTACATAGCATTTTTTTATAAACCATGGCGCTGAACTGAAATTTTGAGTTGATGACCCCGAAGAAATCGCGCCTCCTGACTGTCTCCCGATTTTTCGCAACTTCTAGCGTATTCGTGTTTGCGCTTCCTCGTCGTTCCATCGTAATCATTTCTTCACTTTTTCCGCGTATAAATTCTCTTGTGCGCTTTCACAAAAATGCATCAAATTTTTAGATGGTTTTACGGTAACCAAGCGCGATGCTTACACTATGTATCTGGGCGCTGATCATCTGTGATGCCTCCTCTACTACTTACAACATCGGTATGCTCATGGCTGCTGTGGCCACTTTCCTCTAAAGGTTACAAATTCCAGGCACAACGGCCACGAAGGGCTCGTTTGCGTACGAGAACATCCGCTACGGTGTTGAAAAATGGAATAGTGCCAATGCGGCTCACACGGGTGTCTCACTCAATATTGTTGCCACTGAACTCCATAATTCTGGATTTGAGGAGAAAAGTAGGTGCTACATGAGAAGCCAATCAGTTAATGTGTGGTTCATTTTTTGACTATTTACCGTATCCTCATTTAGATGACAAATTAAGTCTAAACCTTTGCTTTTCCTGTAGCCAGCTAAATGAAAGCATAAGAGAGCAGCAGCGAAGGTCGCGATTATTTGTCACCAAATATTAGATAAACTTATACTTAGATGGTTATTCGATTTGGTTGTCACAGATTATATCTGAAAAACAAATATGATTAGAAATTTAGTGTGCGATGTGATGCAACATAGTGTCGTCGCTATACTTATTCCTGTATATGAGGACCGACTAGATGAATTACTGATGAAATCAATGTGCCACCACTTTCGAGTAAGTGCCGACTAGTTACCTGTTTATGAGAGAAATAATAGTATGTTATTGCGGTGGTTATCATCCACTCTTTACGCATTTTCTAGGCTTCAAAGAAAGTTCCCGGGCACTTGCGAAAAGTCTTCCAAACTCCAAAACTCGACCGAGTGCGGGAAAAATGAGTCAGAAAAAGTTATTTTCAAAAGTGCTCGGAAACATTCTTATAATCTAATACATATATTGGGGTACTTGAGATTATTCACATGGTATGTGCTTAAAGTCACATTACAAGTAGCATAGCCATGATCCAGCAAAATTGTTGTATCGAACAGAAAACTAGCTGCGAAAGTCCAGATCCAGTATTAGAGTACGAAATCTTGAGATAGTAAGAGCTTTTTTATCCGAGCTCAAGTTATCCAGAGAGTAATGCTGCATTATTCGTAGCAAGCACTGCAAGGGTAAAGCCCGAGCTTCCTTCAATGAAACGATATTATAGATACCGTGCCTTTCACTAAAAATGGGCAATCGTGCAGAATTTGGTGAGCTTCCAATCGTGCATAATTGAGCATGGTAGGATTTATTAATTGCAGCCCCTGATTTTATTACGAGTGTTGGACCTGCACGTGGTCTGGGAGCCAGTGCAACTAGCGAGTTCCTAGAAAATCTTCGATGGACATCGTTCCTTCTCGTCTACCAGTATGAATACGGTAAGCTGGTAACCTTGGCTGTCTACCAAACATGTAATTACCGCTTTTACGCCTGTCCAGTGTTGAAAAAAGTCTGAGAGATTGTGGCGGATCATACAACTAAATAATTACTTCCAGATCTGGAGGAGCTAGCCCCTCTTATATATGATCGTCGTTCAACTCACTACGCGGGACATCGCGCATCTGTGCAACTCAGAAGATTGCCGAACAACACCGACAGTTACGAGCCATTTCTCAAATATGTACGGAATCGATTGAAACAGACTAATATCGTGAGTAATTTTGCCTCAGCTGCTTGAAACGACTCGCCCAAACTGAAACTTGGCTCAATTCGGCTTACATTTGCGCGTCCCATTCTCTAGAGCTTGAACAAATATGCTTAATCCCAAATGCCTCTGTCCATTTCAATACTGCTCAACAGCAGACAGAGTCAGAAACAAATAAAGAGGTGCAAGCTAAATTAGCTCTCACCTTATAATTAGCCTTACAGTAGACGTAATCATCTTGCTTTTTGTAATCTTTCGCAGATGGATAACGCTTCTCTCCTTTCCATCCTTATCTCATAAATCTCCATTTACCAGATGTCAACCGCGGATGTTTTTAGAAAAACTGCGCATATGTTAAAAACAAGTCGGACTTCTTTCTTCGCTTTTTTTTTGAAAAGGGGAGGGGGTGGGGAACAACAATCAATCTCAAATAACTAAACCCCAAATGTCACTGAATAATGTCAGCCAATAAGAAAGCAGCTTCGAGCAATGTGACTCAGCACCTGGTCCAGTCCTCTAATGTTGTTTCCAAAAGGAAATGGACCTGGAACTCATAGAAACCTTTTGCGGTCCTCCCCCTTTTTTGCGCCCCGCCCATCCACGGACGGCTTCCTGAAGCGCTCCGGCGTGGCGAGCACAGTCGAGGCGCTTACTGTGCAACTATATTCCTATTGCATACGGATTTGCTGTAGCATGCGACGAGAAGAACGCCGGAACGCTACATGCCCGTCAAATCAAAATTCCAAAAAAGGAGTTCTTTGGAGTTTCCACGTAATCTGCACCCCATATTCAGACTCAGAGCCACAGAAAGGCCTAAAAACGATGAAAACATTGACGACGAAAATCTGGGTAGACGCTGCCCTTAACTCCTTTTGAATGCACTTTTGAAGCCTCAAACGCCCTCATCAAGCTGGCTTTTCTGAAGGTTTTCTGTTTCCCTTACACCCTCGCCGACGAGCTTATGTTGCGGGCGCCATTTTCACATGGCAACCAAGCCATCTATTCTTCACAAATGTATCACGCGGTACCACGTAAGTTAGTGCTGGGACACTCGTCCGCTTTTAACAAGATAGAATTCCCAAAACGCGAGTTCCTGGGATTTTTACGCAATAGGCATTTCAAACTTGAAATCAGAGCCACGAAAAGGTTTGAGAATGACAAAAATACGGAATTCTTTTGCCCGGATGCTGCCTTCAAAGTAGTGCCAAAACTTGAGCATTGTACTTTACAAAGGAATGATCAAAAGTCGAAGTGGCCAATCCAAACAAGTTGCATACCGTTGAATGCAGCATAGAATGCTGTACTCTAAATTCGTCTTCCGCATCTTCTGAACGCTTAAAAGTTATGAGCAGTTTTATCGCAATAAAATTATATACAAAAATTGCGAGAATAGGTACATCATTGCTCTTCTAGCTCATCTTTAGTATGGACTATATAAACTGACCTAGCTGCATGTATTAGCCCAGCGGGCAAAGTGTGACACTGTGCCGCCAAATTTGCACTATGCATGCGCGATTTCTTAGAATTATCATGGCTTACACTGGCTTATATGTATCTTCGTCCGCAAAGGCGCTCAGCGGATATGGAAGACAGCTTCAGAGGCAGCATTATTTCTGCAATGAGTGATAAGCAGCGTGTGTGGATTGACCACTACGACCTCTAATCATTCCCTTGTATACACCAAAGAGACCCAGTAGTGTGACCTTAAGTAAGGTACATCTCCACATTTGAATGAAAATATGCAGCATTGAAGCAACTCTAGTTTTGTGAACAATTAGCGCCGCACCGTAGCTTAGGATTAAGTTTACTAAAAAAGGTGACACAAAGCGACTCTCACGGCAACAAAGAGATAATAGTAAGCGGCACCATAGACTCGATTAAATATCATCAGCAACGGAGCAACTCTGAGTACTTCGAGTATCTGGGCAGTAGGCTTCTTGAAAACCTACAGATTTGCGACACACTTAACACATACTATGGTCTACCTATCATGATTGATGCCGCAAGTGCGCTACAGCAAGTTTACTGCAGTTTTGTAAAAGCACCCAAATTTTCAAGTTTTGTCTGTTTTTCTCCTCTGCACCTATTTGAGCTTTTCCTCTTCCAGAATTTTTTAGAGCGTATTTGGGCATTGTCTCTTACACAGAGATTTCCGGTACTTCAAGCTTTTTAAAAACGAGGGGTGAAAGAATATTTAAAAAAAACGAAAACTTCCCTAAATTTTTCATTATATGTGCTTTCTCTTTTTCTATCGTGTAGGAATGGTACAGAAAGCTTAAAAATAATTTTTTTTTGAATTTTTAAAGGGGTTTTCTTTGTTAAAATCTCGATGATTGCAAAGATGGAACACACTGACCTTTAAACCGCTCAGAAAAACGTGTGCATATATCTGTGTTATCCCTCATGTTTGCTAAATGCTGTAGGCGCCCTACCTGATTACCAAATTGTTGGTCTCTCGCTCATCACCTGAAAGAATGCCAACTCATTTACAAAAATGGGAACAGACCGGATTTTCAGCCACAAAATGGGTGTTTTGCGCACTGATCGCGAATGCGACGGCCCGATGAATAGGCTTTTTGACACTGCTTATGTGCCGTGAATATGAGATCTTTCGAAAGCTTCTGAGACTTTTGAAAGCTAAAATAAAGAATGTAACAGAAATTATTCGACAGCCTACTAGAACCAAGAAGCTGAAAGCTTCTGCACTAGGTTAATCAAAATCGCTGAGTCCAAACATGAAACTCCCACTTCCCCGCATTTTACATAAGTTATGCCAGATATACCACAACAATCTACAGGGTGTCCCAAAAGTATGTATGTACTGTTTGATCGTTAATATCTCTATTCCCAAGAAGTCTTTTGCATTGTTTCAGGTACCGTTTTGTAGAGCTGGCTTCAACTTAGATTTGCAGTATAGAACGAATCACCCATCTCTCTTCATTACTGTAGATTACGGTAGAAACTTCAAAGAGGATTTTGAGCCATGAAAGGCCTTTTTTTGCCTCAGAAAGGAATTAAAACAGCCAGAAAACTTTTACACTAGGCTAATTAGAGTTGCTGACTCTAATTGTAAAGTTTCTAGCTTATTATGATGCTTCATTGAAGAGTTATGCCAGGTGAGAGGTAGCGGCTATTTCTTCAATGTTCTTAAAAAGTGCGGTTACACCGTTTAGAAAGCTTCGTAATCTTGTGAATAGTTGCGTATTGAACTGGGCGTCCATAAAAACCCTATTACACAAGTTTTCACATTTTTTTGAAAATTTCTGAAACGGCAGCTTTTTCCACATTGACACCATATGTTTCAAGTTTCTACCGTAATCCTACAGTAATGAAGAGAGATGGGTGATTCGTTCTATACTGCAAATCTAAGCTGAAGCCAGCTCTACAAAACGGTACCTAAAGCAAGGCAAAAGACTTTTTGGGAAGAGAGATATTAACGATATTAACGACCAAACAGTGCATACATACCTTTGGGACATCCTGTATTTTTTGTTCGTCAAGAATCTGATTAGGCCATTTAAAAAACTCTAAGAAAGCGCAAAAGTTTGTGTGCTGAAATCAGCATGCATAAAAACCTTGTTACACAATTTTTCAGATCTTTTGGAATTTTTTCCAAACGATCTTTTCAACAGTGGCACCATATGCTGCAAGTTCCTACCATGCTCGTATAGTAATGCAGATAGATTCTTAATTCGCTCCATACTGCGAATCTAAGTTGAAGCCAGCTCTACAAAATGGTACCTGAAGCTTCTCGAAAGATTATTAGAAAGTTATTAACAATCAAACGATAGGCATATCTTTTTGAGAACCCTGTATGTCCTTGCCCAACAACGCACAGAAACTTCCAATATTGTTCCACAGCATCATCGGCACTCTGAATGTAGTTGCCTAACAATACAGAAACTATCGTACTATACTATATTGTTGCTCACAGTGGCATTTTGATAGCAGTTGCCCCAACATACAGTGCTGGACATAATTATAAAGCCACTCTAGAAATCGTCGTAATTTTCGTTCTTGTCAATGATATTGTCTGAAACTTTGCTGTGCGCATGTCAACCTACCACGACCTCTCAAAGCGGCTTCCAGTCTTGTTGAATTTGAAACGGAAAAAAGTAGAAAAATTCGAAGAAGCCCTTAATGAAAGCTGGACAAAATTATAAAGCCACCTGGTTTTTCTAATCACTATTGCATTCCCTGGCTCTCAAATTTTTTTGTACAATTACATTTCAAAATATGAAACATTTGCGACACCTACGATCTGTCATCCTACTCAAATAGAAGCGGTCACTGGATTTTTTGCTTTCAAAAGCATCAGGAGTCAATCTGCTTCAAGAAGAAGCTGGTTTGAGGAGTTTTCAAGCAATTGTTTATTTCAAATGATAGACATAAAATCTACTGCGCATTTTCGATAGATGAGGTGAGGAGCGCTTCATAACTCTGCGTAATCACTGATATTGGCGGACAGACTCCAACCTCATCATAGGGTTGTCACGCTTCTACCCCACAAACCCCGGTTTACAATGTTCATGAAGCGCTGGATTTGATTTATCACACTGCCTACATGGTGACCAGCTTCTGCAACAACTTCTGGTTTTCCCTAGTGATGCAGTTGCGATTTATCTGAAAACCTTTTCACGAAAATTTCCTGCGAGCAGAAGATTCGACATAACCCTAGATCTTCTTACTTCCGTTGTTGCAAAAGCTGCATCACCATGTAGGCAATGTGATAAATCAAATCCAGCGCTTTATGAACATTGCAAACAGAGTTTTGTGGAGTAAAAGCGTAACAAATCTAAGGTGTGGTTGGAGTCTGTCCGCCAATATCAGCGATTACGCAGAGTTTATGGAAGCGCTCCTCATCTCTTCTATCGAAAATGCTCAGTAGATTTTATGACTATCATTTGAAATAAACAAGGGCTTGAAAACTCCTCAAACCAGCTTCTTGTTAAAGCAGAATGACTTGTGATGCTTTTGAAAGCAAAAAATGCAGTGATCGCTTCTACTTGAGTAGGATGACAGACTGTAGGTGTTGCAAATGTTTCATATTTTAGGCTGTAATTGTACAAAAAAATTGAGAGCCAGGGAATGCAATAGTGATTAGAAAAACCAGGTGGCTTTATAATTTTGTCCAGCTTTCATTAAAGCTTTTTCGAATTTTTCTATTTTTTCCGTTCAAACTCGACAAGACTGAAAGCCGTTTTGAGGAGGTCATGGTGACATGCGCACAATACAGCAAAGTTTCAGACAGATTCATTGGCAAGAACGCAAATTAGGACGATTTCAAGGGTGGCTTTATAATTATGTCCAGCACTGTACTTTCGAACAAGGCCTCAAAGTGAAGATTGTTTGAGTATCTGCCACTCACAAAAAATGAAGGTTGTTCAAAAAAAAACAGAGAGGAAAGAAAGATGCAAAGCAAACGGTAATAGCAACGGAAACGCTGCGATGAGGTTGAAATCTTCCATTTGGCGGCATCTCGAATTGCAGGTCTTCGCTTCAGGATCAGGCAACCCAAAAGACGGGGGAAAACGAGGGCTAGTTTCTTCTTCGTGATTGTTTTGAAAACGAATATATCTCGGTAGCGTTGATTATCGGTAACGGTGATTACACGAGGAAAACAAACGTAAAAAGAATTAGTTGTGAAAGCGTAAAGTTTTGTTTTTTCCTATTCGAAATGCACGAAGACAATCTGGGTTTTGATGTATCCTTTGTCCTTTAAATATTTACCCCCTTCTCGTAGTTTCTGTCTCTAGCGGCGTTGTCGGCTTTGTTATGCTCATAATCCTGAGCAAAGTGCTCCCAAGTGTGTAAGCAATGATTGCTTACTAATTCCAATAAAAGCCTATGAACAACGCACTTTTAGCAGCTTTTTGCCAGTTTTTTCCTCACAATCGAAAAGTAGCCCTGTCATGTTGTTTACAATATAGAGAAGCAAAATCTTTCGAATGCACGATAAAATCGCTCAAAAAGAATTAAGCTGGAGAAAAAACAAGAGATTTTCGAAAACATGGTTTTTGCTAGATTTTTTGTTCAGTTTGAAAAATGGGGTTTTGCGACGTTGTCAGCGTGAAAGTAGAAGTCAGGAAGTAAACGGTTTGCTAAAGGGTACCAGAGTCAAATGCCCGTGCTCCGCGTTTTGGGTAGCGAGGTAGCGCAGGCAACGCGCGGAGGCGCAGACGAGCAAAGGAGAAAGAAAAGAGCCGACGAACATTTGGCTCTGGTCGTAGATCTCCTCGGGTCTCGACGGAATCCTGCAGCAATATATCCTCTGATTGTCATGGCACGACTAGAAGTACTGAAAACGTCCCAAGACTTGAAAATCGCTTCTTAACGAGATAAACCAAATATTTGTGCGCGACTCCTTGCACAAGACTTAGGCGTAGTTTCCTGTTTTTATAAGAACTACAAAAACTCTCGTGAGTTTTTGAAATTAATTCTAGTCTAAAAAGAGGTCAGTTGAGAAATGTTGTCCTCTGTGAAAATTTTCAGGAAAACTTGTTATTAGATCAAAGAAGGCTATAGAAATACAGTTTTGCGGTTTTGTTGGACTATCGAGATATTCATTACGCTTGATTCATTCACATTCATTTCGATATAGTCATGATCTTAAATCCAGGGCTTCACCATGCATGACTTGTTTTAGTGAACCAAACATTGCAAAAACATTAAATATGGCTGCGCAGCATTGCCGCCTTACATGCATTGCCCACAACATAGAAATTGCCAACATTGTTGCTCAGCATCAGTGGTATTTTGCATAAGCTGCTCAGCAACATAGAAACTTGCATTTGCGCTATATCACAAAAAGTTTTGTTACGTTTCACCGCAGTTCTGATCAAAATTGAAACAGCAACGAGTGATGGTATGGTTATACGGCACCAAAGCAACTGCGAATAAATTTACCAATTCTCTAGTGTTACGCATCACCAAATGTCTTCCAGTTCGCGTTGGGCAGGAGGTAAGGCAGGAGCTGAATGCTCCTCAATATGGTAGCAAACTGAACCGAATTTGTTATTGTAATCGATATCTTGTTATGGTGCAGAAGAGGATCATATTGTCCAAGCTTCAGATGTTTATCAATCTTGGCGTAGATAATGAGCACACAGTTCTCATGGATGTATCACATCTTGTTGCAAACACCCTGACTTGCTCAAGAGGAAATCCGTAATAAGTTTGATAGCGCATTTCCAGTTATCTGAAGAAACTAAGTATAAGGCTAAACTTCACGACATGTAGTAATATCACTGCCATTCATAAGACCATTTTTTTAGGTGATACATTCAAACAACATCACAATACTCTATGCTTTGCTCCAACAAGCAAGAGGGATCAATATGACTGAACCACCGTTCTCCTATATTTTCACTAACACAGTAAGTAAATTCAGACTTTTTTGTTAACCAATGGGGATGTGGTAGGGATGTTCGCACTCACTTTGCAGGACCTGTCACTGCTGGAAGACTTTCTCAACAACGTTTACGGCTCATTTCATTGCAACATAACCGGTTTACAATTGGTGAAAAATGACCCAATGATGAAGGCAAGTACAATACACTACAATTTGCGTTAATTGAAACCCTTTAGACAATACTTGCTCTCACTTCAGAAGCAGTTTGGGCAATAGGAACGGCACTACAGAAGATGACAGAGGTTTGTGCTGCAAAGAATTCCAAATTATCAATGTTATCTTGGGAGCTACACGACTCTCACACCATTCAGCTCTAGCTTGTTTCAAGGAATACGGGGGAAGGGGCGGTGAAGCCATCGGAACGGTATGCTTGAAGAGGCATAGGCACCGTAGCTGCGAGAAATGGATGGTTTGTATGGGCCTCTACTACCGCTGCAAAAATTTATAAATCGGAAGCCAACTGAGCACCGCCTCCACACTATTCTGTTCAGTAAAGTTTGCTATAAGTGTTACACGGAGAAGGAAGTTGCTGATGCAATCGTCAAACCCAGTAATCTGCAAGACATTGGCGAACAGTTGTTCAAATCCACCAAACACGGCACCCAGCTGCAAGAAATGAAGATAATTGTCGTGCTGTCGTGGCAATTACAGCTGCAGACAATGGAGTGGATGGCGTTGATGTTGCGGCACTGCAATGATGGGATGGTCGCTACAACAGCATCACCATCCACACAGTAACATAATATGTTGATGTGTGAATGACGTGCTAGGCTCTACCAAGCACAGCTTGGTGATGCTATTGTGGTGACTACAGCTGCAGGAACGGAGTGGATGGCGTTGATATTGCGGCGCTGCAAGGGATGCGATCGTCGCCACAACAGCATCACCATCCACACATAATATGTTGCTGTGTGAATGACGTGCTAGGCTCTACCAAGCACAGCTTGGTGATGCTATTGTGGTGACTACAGCTGAAGGAACGTAGTGGATGGCGTTGATACTGCAGCGCTGCAAGGGTTGCGATCGTCGCCACAACAGCATCACCATCCACACAGTAACATAGTATGATGTGTGGATGTTGTTGTTACAAACACAGCAGCCAACTTCAAAAAATGAGTAGTGGTGGTGGCGTTGTGGCAACTATAGCTGCACGGAATGGAGTGGATGGCGTTGATGTTGCGGCACTGCAAGGGATGGGATGGTCGCCACAATAGCATCACCATCCACACATTGTGTTCAATGTTACTGTGTGGATGGTAATGCTGTTGTGGCGGCCACCCTCTTGCAGAGCCGCAACTTCAGCGCCAGCCACTCCATTTTCTGCAGCTGTAGTTGCCACAACAACAGCATCGTCTTCTTTTCTTGAAGCTAGCTATGTTTGGTAGCCTAGCATGACCCCTTCACCAATGCCTTGCACTTTACCGCATTCAGGCGCATCAGCAATCTCCTCCCCCGTGTAGCACACCTAAAGCAGACATTACGGCACAGCAGAGTAGTATGGATGGTGATGTGCTGATTAACTGGCTTCTGATTCATAAACTGCAGCTGGTAGTCACAGAGGAGCTTCCAGTTATAGTAGAAACCTGCACAGCCGCTCCATTTCTCGCAGCTACTGTTATGTAACATTACGTCACCATCTAGTCTGGCGATATTCCGGAAATTCCGCTCTCGGAATGTCGCGCGATTTCCGAGACGGTAGTGCTGCGAGCTGTGCTTACTACAGCTGCAAGGTAAGGGTTATAGAGCGGACACACCATCATGCACGCTAATCCGCTGTAACATGAGCTACAAAATTGGGGAAGAAGGGAGAGAAGGGGAGAGGAGGAGAGATATAATGATACCATTGTCAAGTCGCTACTTTGCGCATCTGCGGACTGTAGTGCAAGTGTATCACAGCATCTAGCTTCAATAATGAAGAGAATTATGGTGTCGTCATGTCGTCTACTGCAGACGAAAGGCAGGGTGGAGAGGGCGGAGGGGTGGCGTTGCTGCTATGATAATTGATGCGGTTGCGAAGAATGGAAGGAACGGTCTCAAAAGGATTTACATATTTTTATTTTTATCCTATTTTTTTCTACCCGAGGGTACTTCTCAATGAAAACGCACAAATAATGGCGCTTGGAAAACCAATTATAAAGGAGAAAATGAACTTCTTGACTGAGGGCGATTTAGGGGTCCATCATCTCGGCAATAATTGAAAGGCCATTAACGAAACCCTTTACCCTATGGATATCAAAATAATTATGATCATGTGATCTGACTCTCACATTCCATCTCCTTTTCTAGTAAACCGTGAAAGAAATAAATCAAATGACGTTCATGCTGAGTGAGTCAGATTTGTGGCTGTTTTAGTTGAAAAGGCCACCTCGACCGGCTGCTTTACTTTGCGATGCAAAAGACACGTGGAATGATGGATCAAGAATGAATGATGCCATCCGCAGGGTTGGTCGCTGAATTATTTTCCACACCTTTCCATCCCATTTCCCTAACTCTCCATTTTCAGCTCCGGGGCAGCCAGCAACTCACTGGCGATGTTCATTTCGATTCGAGGGGCGAACGCGAAGATCTGGTGTATTATGGCATTGGTAGGATCAATTCACAGTTTGTCAAGGTATACTTCTTATCTGCTGCGCACTAGGGTGTGAAACAAAACTTCTCAAAACCAGTTTCTTGTGAAACGAACCGAAAAAAGAAATGGGAAATACAATGAATCTGAAACTGATAAATGTCGATGCATAGTGACTAGGAGGTGAGAAGAACGAAGATAAAACAACGAGAACTTCACTTTTCATGCCAAATGCTATTGGCGTTGTGTCATTGAAAGAAACAGCAAAACTGATTTGGAAATTCTATCATCTTTTTTTCATCAATGCACTTACACTACGGATCACCCAACAACATCGATTGCCCTTCGCAATCATATCCTGTCAAAATCTTAAAAATATCGCCTCGAATTCATTCATGGAGATGTATACTACGCAAAAAGGTTGATACTAATCGCGAGAAACAATTTTACTGTTTTACCTCGAAATTATAAAAGAAAGGAGCTCGCTACTAAGGCTATATTCCTAGTCTCAATAAACATAAGTTATAGCTGCGGGCCTGCAAAACTGAAACGTCAAGACAATTTCTTTTCCTGCGCTCTCAATACTTCCTATCAGAATTAACATGCTAAATATGCAAATTATTATGAGCAAATGCTCCGCCCTGCTCGTATGTGGCCAGTCACCGTCCATGCATGACCAATCATAGCGCGCCGCTCAAGCATTCAACCCCTCTTCGCTCTGAAGCAGAACTCGTTCGATCTGCAAACCGACGTACATAAGTGCTAAAGTGTTGCTTGCAAGGTGTGGCAGATTCACATCATTTCGTTGATGTTTTTTGCACGTTTTTATGCTTCGTTGATAGGATTTTCTCAAACATGCGAACATGATTCGATTAGAATTCGACCTTGGTCAATTATCCGAGCAATTTACTTCATTGTCAAGTGATGAACAAGATCTTCTACATGACGGTACGGACTGAAGAAGTGCTTTGCACTGTCCTTTTCTTTGCATTGACAAAAGCAGTTCCATGTTTGTAACTTGCTTAGGATTTCTCAAAATAAAGGTGCCTTTGCTCTAATAAGGCCAACCGCTTTGAAAACGCTTTCGGCTTTCCATTCAAAATTCAATAGACTTATTGCCTCAGAAAAAAGGCAGTGCCGATAACCCAACAATAAAATCGTAAACATGTTGTGCAAAACATGCACTTTTGGTGGCTGTAATGACTGAAGATGATGAAAAACAACATTTAATTGTACTCTTTATAAGTTAAGGCAAAGATTCTCAGTCAGGGTGTTAACTAGAAACCGGTGCTAGAGCCAAGCAAAGTCTGAGATGTTATATCCCGATTTTCTGGATGTTATATCTGATTATCTATATCCTAAGAGCCTTCAGTGAAAGATCTCTTTTCTCCACGCCCTGCTTGCTGCCTCCATCTTCATAAAAAGTTTATATGCCGAAGGAAAGGTTCATTAGAATTAAATCTTAGCCTTATTCCCAAGTGACAATCATATTATTCGCACCACAGAATCCTGCATAGAACTGGAAGATTTTACATCTTGAACGTTTGACCGAGCGAGTATTTGAAATGAAACAAATTCGCCTTATTTCTTGAGTGGCTTGATAGCATCTAGCGAGAATAAGTCAGCTTTGAGACTTCCCTTGACTTCATTCCGAGTGAGTGATTATAAAGTTTGCGACATTTATCATTTATGAGACTTTTTGCACAAGCATTAGGGTTTTGCAATTTTCTCCCGAATCCACGACTGGTTGCAAATTGCAGTTGGAGCAAAAACGTGAATCCTTGAGAGCAGAACTGGAACTTCAAATTTCACAGGTTTACCGAAGACTTGCACTAACATAACTACGAAAATGTTTGCACTACTCGACGTAGCGCAGAACTCTGGAAGAAAATTCTTATCACATAATCAGATCATCCCGTCTCCTCAGCTCTCCTTGGGGCCCCTCACCTCAATTTTGCCTATCTTCGTTAAGGGTAACATTTTACAGTGACGTTTTTACAGTGAAGGAACCTTTACTGGTCGTGAGCGGAATTCAGGCCTTCACTTCTATTTGCTAATGCCCTTATTTCCTGAAGGAAATCCGGAGCTTCCCTCCGCAGCACATACTATGCTTCAAGAACAGAATTAATCTGAATCACCAACTGAAGAAAGCAGTAATGTCTACGATTATGAACAGATACAAATGGATGGAAACGGCACATTTTCATAATAATTCAATAGTCTTCCAGTCAAAGGGATAAAGTCTTTCCAACCTTAGATCTTCTGTCACATTAAGACTTTCACTGAGCACAAACTGTTCATATTTGCTCTCAAACTGTACAGTACTGCACGGAAATTCATTGTAGCCGCAAAATGATGGAAGAGACGTCGAAACTGTCACGGCCAACTGCAATCACAACGAGCGAAGAGGTGTAATTTTGTCACAACGACGTGCGCACGGCAAATAATGCATCGTAGGGAAAAAACTGTGACTTCATGCACTATCTTTGCAGTTTTCGGATTTTTTCAGCGTTGGATGCTCGCTCCATCTATTAATCATTCAGTCCGAAAATTGTTTGCTTGGCGCTGCAAAGGTTGTAGTGTACTTTTGACACGGAAGCGCAACGATATATTGAGTTCACGCTCTGATTTTTGTCCTTGAAATAACCAGATTGGTGAGCAACCCATTTTGATCGCTTGTCACTGGCTAAATGCTCAGAGGATTTTAATAGGCCTACATACGGTAAAATTGGAACAGTAACACTTTCCAGCTGGGTGTTATGGGAACCCTACTCCGGCTACAACTCCAGGAAATTGGTAAAACAAAGAAATTTCCATATTTATCAATTCATATATACACAAAATGTCGCCGATTTATCCCTTCATGGCATCCTCGATCTCTTTGCGGACACCAGCTGGGAGTCCTTTCAAAATAGCGTCGATTTCCTGACCCTTTTGGGCATTCGTCTTCGTTTTGTCGTTGGCAATAGCGGTGAGCTTGGCATCAGCCTAAAGTAGGGAATGAGCGCTGGAGAGGGGTAAATTCTTCTAGTTTTACCTCTTTGGCTTCGGGGCTGAATTTGGCAATGGCAGCCTGGTGGGCTGCCTCACCTTCTGATTGAGCCGACTTGATGTCCTTTTCGAACGAGGCAAATGCGGTCTATAAAATGGATATGCGAAGGTGGTTTTGGGATTTGGAAGTCAGAAATATCGCGAAATTGCAGACTAACACAACAAGTGGGATATATAAAAAGGCCTATATTTGGGGTAGTAGGTCCCACCTTGATAGCATCGCTCTGCTTGCCGATCCAGTCTTTGACCATCTTGTCGATCTCGGCATCGGTCATTTTGTCGGCATTGGCGAAAAGTCCCTCGAATTCCTTCTGAATCGCTGGAGAGGCCTGAAACCGCAACTTTTGAAAGATGTTACTGTTACAAATTTCGAGCAGCAATCAAAGAAAATCGCCTGGAGTGAAGTGAGTGAAAAACTGACACTTGCTAGGAATGGTGGAGGTCCTTGTGGTCCTTGTTGGGCCTGTACGAGGCAGATCGCTAAGCAGGCGAGGGCGACGATTTTGAGCATGACTAGTGGGCTGGCCGTTGCACTGCCGCGGCAGTCTTTTATACCCGAGACTGCGTGAAACAGGTTCTTTAGCCCTACAGAAGACGCATCGCACTATTCGCTTAATTGTTACGTTTTGAAGCCGAAAAAGATATGACATCAGAACTGTGACTGTATGGGTCATTAGCGACTCTTCGAAAATCCCCGTCGATAGCTGTAGATCATCTTTAAGCTGTCTAAGCTGTTGATCCAGACAATTTTTGAGACGGTGGTTAGGATTGTGCTGTTAATTTTCTTGAATACGGTCTATGGAACCAATGTCTCATTGCAAGAAAGGAACACAAATCGGAACTGACAACTTTTGCAAATTCAAGTAACAAGGAAATGAAAGTGTGTTTGAATTACTTGTCGTCTAAGTTGTAAAGAACTTTCCTGGAAATATTCTATTCACTCATACTTCATCTTCTTCATTGTTCCTTCAACGCTAGCTATTCTCAGCGTTCTTTTAAAAATCATAGTAACTTCCTACTCTTATTGTTCCACTTTTTCCATTTTGGGTCTATAATCCATTTTTTCCCTGTATATTGTATAATCTCACATAATTTGACCGGAGAGGGAAGTGTGCAAAAGAAAGTCACTAGTATTATTTCTTTCTATTCTTTCAATTTTTCTTTTAAAAACAGGCTCTCAACTTCTCCTCTAATCAAGTGCCAGTTCTCCTGATCAGATGCTAACTTTTTCTAGATCTCCCTTTCTTTTCTTTTCCCGAATGTGCTGAGCAAATATTGCGAATCATTCAATCTCTTTATGATATCATTTTGTGCCTAAGAAACTTGCAGTGACTCAGTCATTACTCTCAGTTTATTCTTTTGGTTTGTGACTGGATCTGCTACTTGTCCGCCTCTAGATTTTTGAGTCATTCGCGAGTAAATACAGACATTTTTTGCTCTCTGTTTGCTTACGAACTCTCCTTACGTCGAGGTCATTGACACCTTCCGGAATACGTTCACGTTCAGAGCAAACAATGAAGCAGAGAAAAATTTCTAGTATAAAATATTTTCTCACAAATGTCACGCAAAAAGAGATGGAAATTGCTGTTGATGCTGATCTTTGGCTTATCTGCTGTATTTTACTAAGAACGATTTTTGTCGAAAATTTGCCGGAACTCGTTCACTGCCTGTATATGGCCTTTTGAGACCTTGATGGGGTATTATTTTGCTAAGCGGTTTTCACGCGATCTTTTGTGCCGCCATTGCCTCTGAGCTGTGTAATCGCTTGCCATGTAGCTACGATATGTTTGTGTTTACATCAACACTGGAGGTCAAAAGTGACGCTAGCTTGGCAATTTTTGAAGGTGACTATAAACGCACAATCACGAATTATTGCAAAGTCAGTTCTGCTGGTTACTTTTGATGAATTGATTTTGCTGAGTTTGATCGGGAAAAGTGATGTGGAATGGATGGGAAGTGGAACGGGGTCGAGACACTCTCCGTTTTTGTTTTTCCATCCAACCAAAGTCTCGACTTGCATCGATTGCGTTGTTTCTTCAATGCCCTCGGATTTGCAACGAATTCGACGATAAACCCGGGGAAATTGGTGGTGATTCAACGCAATCTAACATCACCCGACGAAAACCAAACTTTGTTCGACGAAGATAGTACATCGAAATGACCACTTAGCAGATGGTATAGCACTTACATTGTTTACGACGCGTCTGTAGTCTTTACTGGTAGTGAAAGGACTAGTTGTTGATTCTTTCTTGTGTTTGTCTCACAACGTGAGTCTTCTTATAGGAACTCTTCTTTGGTGAGTACATGATAAACACTTATCCAGCATTAAATCCGAAAACGTGAATCCATGAATATAAGGGAAGGGGGGGAGGCTTAGAGAAGGTACGGAGTAAGGGCTCTGGCACAGCCGGCACCGGGTCAAGCTGGATATCGTTTTTGGGACAAAAAAGGGATATCGTTTTTGTGGTCGAAAAGACACCTTTTTAATCGACGTTTCATTTTTTCGAGGGTTTTTACGTCTAGGGTCTAGAATACTTTGTACAAAATTTTCGGGACCAAAGGAGACTTCGTTTTGAAAATTCCGTGGTGCCAAATCTTGCCGAGCCCTGTACGGAGTTTCCGTCTTTTGTCTAGTCATGACTCACATTGTAAACTCCTAAAGTAGTTGTACATCTAGTAGCAGTTTCTTCATGTTTTTTGGGGGACCGATTCTTATTTGAAAGTCATCGTGTGCACAAATACTTGCTCATATTAACTAGCAGAAGCCGTAAGACTTTACACAATCAAGTTCTAAAGTTACTGGCTTCAGCAATCATGTATGTGATCTCCTTGTTCCAGAATTATTGTAAGCAAACTCTTTGATAGCAAATGTTTTTTCGAGAAGCTGCGCGGGTTCCGCTTTCGCTCATTGCAGTTGTTGCGGTGTCAAATTTTTCTGTGATTCTCTTTGACAGCTAACTCATATCTACTCCCATTTCCTGACCTTGATGCAATATTTTTCGCGGAAACAGCGCTAGCCATCTTTTGGTTCTACTAGAAGGAAGTTGTAGTATAACTTCGGTTATAGCAGTCACTTTTCATTACTTCTTCAAGCCATCAGTGTATGTCGGATGGAATCAGTACAAGAACGAAGAAATCTGCCACTCTCGTATTTCTCACTTTCAGCTTGGAAATTGGTCGGAGCGAACCGGCTGGCTGTTCGATAGCCGGTATGCAAACAAATGGGAGTTCGACATCGATCCTGAAGCCGACGATCTGGCCGGATTCCATCTGCGCGTGGTCGTTTACTTGGTAAGCACAATGTATTTGCTATGAAAACGCCAACACGCCGTTCGAGGTCCTCGGGCGGAGTCTGTGAATCGCGCTTGGTTCACTTTTGAACTGCGCGTCACCCTTGATTTTCGACAATACGCAGAAATCTCAAAATTCTGGCTAGCGCTAGGGTAGAGGAGACGGTAGATTAGAAGACGACGTAAAGGCATTTCAACCACCGCAGAAACCGTGCCATTGCGGACGCCATCTGCGTATCTCAGCTCGAACGTGCTTTCATTCCTCTGGCTGTCTGCTGTCTCTTCCAAACACATACTATCTTAACCGAACGCAATGGCATCGAGTCTGTGCGTGCGAAATGAGGCTTGTAGGGCGTGCATGGAGCTTTGATGCCCTTATCTGATTCGTACAAAAAATGCCTTGACTCTAGTTTCTAAGAGCAAGGACTATATCGGCTTTCAGTCCATTTTTTAAATTTATTCTGACGTACAATTTTTTTTTTGAAAATAATCCACTTCAATTTTTGCTAGATAGTCTCTCCTACATTAGAGATAGCCAATCCTCAAACTAGTCCAAATAAATGCTCTTTCCATGCATCCACAAGTAACCACAATATTTTAGCCGTAATGTCTCTGCTTCCATTTTCGCACATTGACAGTTTTTAAAGTTGCAGAAATCATTCGTAACGGCTCGCAAGAGACACTGTGCGGGTAATAAATCAAAGTATACAGACCTAAACCACGTTATCCAATCATTTTGCGCCAACTGATTGTTTGTTATCGGAAACAATGATTTAGTCACGGCAAATGTGTTGTTCAGGGTCACCAACAAACAACTTCGAATTGTCTTTTGGTCAGTTAGCCTTAAGAATGAACAATGCGATTAGGCTGGTTTTTTCTTGACAATGTATGACATCCAAAACTTTCAAAGGGAAGTGGATCAAAAATATGGGGTCAATGCAAATGTTTTCTGGGTATTTTGGGTGAGTCAATGTTTGAAAACACTGTGAGAAGATTAGCAACTCTTGGTAAAAAAAATGATTTGGTACGAGGTCTATGTAATCAATTCGGTTATGTAAACCGAACTCTTTGCTCTCCGCACTTTTTGCATCATTCCGGCGGGTGCATTGTGCAAAACTCCTTTCATTCCTAGAATTACGACGGTACTTTATTCAATTGCTCTCCAGTCTTCTTGCAGCAGAAAACTGAATAAGGATGGCAGTGGACGAGGATATGAGTGGGTTATTCAAAAACAGCTTTTTCGGATAATCTGTAAGGATACTTAATTATGACACTTGCTGTACTTGGCACTAAAATTCAACAGGGGAAGGATACTTGATCGAAGTGGAGTTTCCATATGAAATGTACAATAACGTATAGAGCATGGAACATGATTCCAATCCTGACTTCCTTATCTGCAAAGCGCTTCTGGAAAGGGAGTTCTGAGAATCTTTTGTGGTGAAAATTCAATGATTCTCCTAAGAAAAACAGGTGTTGAGATCTTTCCGGCGCTTAAAAGGAGTAATGACTGGCATGAGTTCATTAGACTGAAGGTAATTATTGCATAGAACACCCTGGTAGTTAATCGTCGCCCATTTGAGCTCATAGACTGCTGTTCTGAAAGATTTTAGTGTGGCCGCGCGCTCAAACTTTTGCTACAAAAAATTCCCAACTTCCCTCCCAGAAGAGCTTTGCAGAAATTGTAAGCAGATTCTGGACCAGCATTCTGTGCTCTATAAGGGAGTATACATTTCACAGTGAAATGCAACTTCGACCAAGTATCCTTCCCTTGTAAGTGCCTACAGTGCCTGCCTGTTGACTGAAGATAAGTTCAGTCGTCCACTCATGCTTCAATTTTTGAGCGATGTGTATGTGAGCAAAATCTTTGACTCGAGAAAAAAACTCTCAGGAGCACACGTTTTTGCCGTATCTCTGGCAATCATGCGGTAATTATTTGTGTTCGAGTGCAGAAATTGGCAAATTTGAAGGTGTAGTGCTCTTCTCGCATGTCGACAACAAGTGCGCGTGCAAAAATGTACAGGATTTGCAAAACTTGAAAATATCAATAGCCATTTTTTATTATCGTCACCATAGGGTCACTGGAAGTATCTCTTTCATTCCTAAAATTTGACCTTTCAAACTTATTCTTTTTGGTGACTTTATTGTCGTTTTTAGTACAATCAGCCATTTCGAAAAAGAAGTGTAAACCAGGTCACGCACAATTACATCGTTCTTTCTCTTACATCTATAATAGTTTGAGGCGCTAAAGTGTGAGCGTCCATTCGCGCGCGAGCGTAACAGCTTCTGTTTGTCTAATTTACGATCACAGCAGTGAGTTGTTGCATGGCGCGAAACCAGATGAGTCAACTTGCCAGGCAAACATATCGGGGAAAACTACGAACACGCTTGTATAACCATGTGTGGACGGCACACCTGGAACCGGTCCGTATAGTTCGGCAAAAGTTGTCTAGAGTTTGTTTTCTGCCGAGCAGGAAATCGGTTCTTACCTGCAGGGTGTTCGCCGGGTATAAGGCGCCATAGGGCTGTGATGTTTGAACAAAGTACAGATGAGGGACGTTTCCGTCATCTTAGAAAAGTTGAATGTAGGGCAAATTTCTTCAAAAAACCAGGTATGTTGACTCCGCAATAGAGTGATGCCTATACAAATACTGTTTTTAGAGATACTTACCAAAAACCAACTCAGGACTCTTTCTTGTATGCAAGAATCACGTAGGCAAGAAAGGGAACACTTTTTCTTTAGCTGGTTCAATCACGAACGAGGAAAATGCTAGGGGATTTTAATACGAAAACCGCATTATTTTTAAAGCTAATTTTATCAGGCTGTGCTCATATGACTTGTAAGCTTCTTAATGGCTTCTATCTACCGAATCAAAAAGGCGAATATTTGGTTAGCGATCAGCAACTTGTTTAACTAAAGTAGTTATGAGGTGTAAAGGTTCAAATTTTGAAAATCAGAACAGTGGAGTGGGGTTTGTAACCCTGTCTGAAAAAGGAAATCGCTCTTTTGCCTATTTTTCACTTACTCCATTGATGGAAGATGAGTGATGTGTGCAGCCTGAATCAGTTTCTCACTCATTTCATTCCAATCCTTGTTTCTTTTAAGAAATGGTTAGGCGGTTCTTGGGTGTTTCAACAGCGACTGTCAAACATTCGTTACACTAAATTCGTCACATATAGATTTTGGTAGGAAAATCGGGCATAAAACTCGTTTTATGTAGATTATAATGTAAACAGCTCTTGGACGCTTTCTCTTTTTATTGTTAGCATATGCGTAAATAGCAGAAACAGTCCAAAAATAGGGCTTAGCGGATCTTTTCCATACAGGTTATGCTGTTGATGCCGCATAAATCCTGCTTACCTCCTTCCAAAACAACTACTGTTTTGCACTAATTGGTGCTACGCATGCCCATAAGTAGAACAGATCTGCATTGCTTGAACATCGGAAACTAAAAAAAAATCCATAGAGGAGGAGTAATTGTGATTAGCAGTCCGCAAAAAAAGTCCTAGCAAATGTCGTCAGCGTGCTGTTTTCTTTGTTCAGATTTTTCTCAAATATGTTCGTGTCAGGGGACGAGTGGCGTAGTGGTATGAGGCGCCGCTATGACCAGATCGGACACAGGTTCGATCCCCGCCCCTGGGCAAACCAAGCCCTCTACCCTCCGGGGCCGGTAAATTGGTACCAGAGTAATCTGGGAGGATAAAAGCACTGACTTGGAAACCGCTGGCCCCCGCAAGTCACTGTAATAGGCCCGCACGCATACAATTGCCTCTTCGACTATGAAGTTAGTGTGTGCGTTCGGCGCATGCCCTCAGAGGGTATTGAAGACGCCGAATCCTTTATCTTTTATCCTTTATTATGTTCGTATCAAGGTCTCTGAGAAGCTTGCCATTTGCGAGGTAAATGGTACCTTCTGAACTTCCTGGTAAAATCGTCGAGTTTCTTCAAATTGCTGATTTCTTAACACAACCACCAGCAATTACGTAATTTTCATAAGAGGGTGAGCGGCTCATCTGTCGGAGAAGCTCCACATCTCAAACATTTATATAGATTTTGCTCTTGAGCTGCATTAAGAAAAGCTATGAAGATGCAGGATCGTCTACCAATATCCCAAATAGAAGTAGACTAGATACACGCAAATAGAAGTGGAGCTGGACCCACGAGGTTAACATCGTGTGCCCAGCTCCATTTGTTATGTTGCCGTCCCAATATTGGTTAACAATCCTTACGAATTTCTGCAAATTGCACCCTGGGACGTTCCGAAAGATCTTCTGAGTTTTTTGGCGACCTCCTCTTGTCTATCGTGCTTCCGGTTGGCAAAAATAGCACTAAAATCTGGACCATAAACAAATGTTCTGACGCTTGCTCAAAAAGAAAACAAAATCAAGTAACTGTAGATCTGATTGAAATACCTTGCTACGGTATTCGAGAAGCCGGTCAATTCCATTCAAATGGAAAGTGCAATTCCACTCTTACCGTCCAATGGAAGCGCGGATGTTGAAAACTGGAGCACGGCAGAATCAATTACATTAATCACATTCCTCAGTTCAAAAATCAAATGGATTCACGCTTCCAAAAGCTGATTTCACTAGCAAGAATCACGCACGAAACTTATCACAATTTTAACGATGATTGTCGTCAAGTGCCCTTTAGTAACTAAAGTAAGGTTGTTGGACCCGGCCTAACCACTTGTTCTTTATGCAAGACTAGTTTTTTATTGCTCATTCTAGTGCTTTTTTCTTATTTGAAGGCTATCACATTTTTGGGTATGAAATCAATTTTACAATTTTGCGTGATGTTCGCTCAGTTTGCAGCTTTGCAGACTAGTTTCGCATGCCACAATGCAAAAAACTTTACCTTGGAAAGATCATGGTGTGTGTGCGTGTGAGAGTTCTGATGTTGGATTCACTTATCATCAGGGAAATGACAAAGTAGTGTAAATTAGAGTTCCCATTTTGAAGTTTTCTTTTGAAAAGAGTGAAGACAATTATGTCTGCACTAAT